TACGTATACGTGCGTGAGTGTAGTGCAGATGTGTGCGTGGTGTGGTGGTGGTGTGGGGGGGGGGGGACGGTGGTGTGTGGCGTGCGCGTGCACGCCCGTGCAGGAGTGCGCGCGCGCGCGCGCGCACGTTGGTGTGCAGCGTGAGCGGAGAACGTACAGAAGATTTATTTCTAGTTCCGCGTGCTGCCGTTTCCCAACCAAAGGTTTTGCCGGCTAGATGCACGAGTCGCACGAGTGTCCCAATGGCGGACCTTGACCGTCAGCTCCGATGTTCGGACGGTCGTCATACCGTCTGGTGCTCGCCGCAGATCTTCCTAGCGATACCGCGACGAAGTTTTCCGATTATCGCTCGCAATACGTGACGATACGGCTGCTCTCGCGGTCGTTCAAGTCATTACGACACGCGATGTACCTTTCCGTGACGATGTCATTATTTCAGTTCGAAATGATCCCCTGTAGAATTTAAAGAGGAGGGAACACTCGCCAGCATAAATCCCAGCCCGAAGGATATACGCGAGCAAACGAATGACTCTGCAAATTGACGTCCGCAAACATTACGAAAAGAGTCATATACGATATTACAAGGTCTTCTTTCAAATACTGAATTTTACTTTATTATTTTATATAAAATTATTTTAATATTCAGTGATTAAACGAAAAGATATTGTCTTTACTACTTTCACGGCTATATCACAATATATTTCTATTGTTGTCCAGATAGAAAGCAAGTCCGATGTCTCTTGCGGTCGAAATTGGTAAGAAAGAAAATCTCTCAGGAAAGCCTTTCTTTCTTTTAAAAGGGGATTCCTTCCTTCCACTCTCTTTGCTTTTTTAAGAGATAAGATTTCTTTAAAAAAAAAAACTCTCCTTGGGAAAATTATTTTTGTTTGCTATCTAAATACCGTAAAAATTTTTTCCTTCGGTTACACGCATAAAATTATTCTATTATTCACTGAATACTAAATGTTACACTAAAATAGAATTTTATAGAAAAACGTGTTTTTATTCAAAGAAATAGATTTATCTGTGATTCCCGTTTTCATCTCGAATTATCATCTCGCGATTATAAAATTTAAATCTCTCATGCAATATCTATTTTTTTCGCTTAATATTATCATTTGCATCTTATTTCCTCTCTATTTATTAGATTTCATCCGTGCAGCGTGAATCTTTGCATTGCGTAAGTAACTTGTAAGTGAATCATGCGAATTGCGCGGTCGTCGAGGTAAGAAAGAACTCTTTACGAACTTGAAAAAGCGTTCGTGTATCGGACGAAACGTGCGTCGGTAGTGCCGGCATTTGCGTGCGTGCTCCCGCGAGTTCTGGGCCGCGCGGGTCGTATATACTGACACGTTCGTCCGCCTTACGTAATACGCGTTGCGTAAACTTGACGTTAGCCGTTAATGTCCGTCATACACATTTCCGCGCGCCCGGCAACAACCGCGGCTCTCGGCCGCGAGAAATCCGGCCTCACTCGACGTAACCGTACCCTTTCGTATCGTTCCTCTCTTCTTCCGTCCTCTCGCTCTTGATCTTCGTATATACGTTCGTTCGGAAGGACAAACAACGGACGCAATTAGCCGCGTGGCGCTTTTCCATCGTCGCGGTACAAGCCGCGGTCGAAGCCGCTCCAACTTTACGAGCGGTTATTTATCCGCGTGCGAATGCAATTCCGCTTTCACGAACCGCGTTGATTACCACGAACTAGCCGGTGGTAATAAAAGAGGAACCGATCGATTCGGAGAGGCAATGGGAAAGCAATGGTTAATAATGCTGTTAATAACGCGGTTAAATAACGCGGCTTGTACGCGGACGAAAATGAAATTGATTAGAAATATCCGCGTGCCGAGTTAGAAACACGTATTCTCCGCACACGCTACGTCCCGCTCGCGTTGCACCGCGATTGCAGATATTATCTGCCGCGCGTGCAGAGTCAGGGCCATCGCCTGGCAGTATGATTTCTGATTATATCATTTCTGATAATAACTCACCG